AAATAAATAATAAAACCCTTTTTATAATAAAAATAAATAAATAAAACCCATTATATAATAATGTTAATTATTATTTGTAATAATTTGTCAGTAAAAGAAATAATAAATAAATAATAAAAAAAATAAAATAAAATCCCACGCATTTGAAGATAATAATTGTTTATGAAAGTATGACAAGGAAATTGAAAGAAAAAAAAAAAAAGAAAAATAAATTGAAAGATAGAAAAAAACCTGATCAGAACAATATGCGACGAGACGTGAATTGATATCAGCTGCACTACGATTAGGTTCACTTTCTTGAACATCTCTGATAGCACGAGTTCTTGCTGCGAGTAAAGAAACAAGGGTTGAATCCGATGCTGTTGTTTGAATGACACCACCACCATCGTTTACACCAGGCCTATGTAAAAATTGTTCAGGCAAACCAATCATTTTAGCTAACCAATTCATCACGATCATTTCCAATTCTGTACAAACTGGACTGGACGCCTGTAAATTAAATTCAATTATAAAATAAAACTCTTTAACACGTTCAGTGGCAAGCTCTTTTTTTTACCAGACTTGTCATTCAGGCCATTTAATTTTGCTTTTACAAAATTCAACCAATTTAATTATTAATCATCAATATAATTTTAATAATTATTTATTACAATAATTAATATGTATATATTAAATGTTATGAGTTCTGATTTGAACGTCGTAACGTAAACATCGTTAGTATCGTTTGTTATACATATTTTTCATTCGGCTTCGTATCATACGGATATACTTTTAAATACTTATTTTAATAATATAATTTTGTATAACACATTAACACGTAGAAGGACAGTTTTCTTTTTTCCTCGATTATTATAAATATCATTTTTATTCGTTTATACTAAGGTATTTGHGGTTTTTGGCGCTTTGTAGTAGTGTTGTGTGCGTTCGTATGCTCGCCATAAAATCGGACTTTGCATGAAGAAGCAATCGAAAAGAAATAGGTCGAAGAGCTCAGTAAAGGGTGAGAACGCCTATAGGCCGGCGCTGCGCGAGGAAGATCTAAAAAAGTGGCATAAAGAGTTAATTGTCTGTCAGAGTATAACCGTCAAAAAGTCAACCGTCAAAAAGTTAACTGTCAAAGTAGGTTCGTGACGTGTCGTATGGCGCAACCGGCGTTGAGCGACCGGGATGTGCTGACAACTACCGATAATATACTGAAGCACCCCGACGCGGTAAATACGAAATCGAGAGGCCGTCCGAGCAATACCGAACAACTGGAGAAAGAAGGTGAGAAGAACAAAAGAAAGCTCACAGAGTACTTTGCGACTTCAAATTCCGCTACTCCGAAGAGCGTGAACCGCATACGTAAGCGTACGCGTAGTGAGGAAACGTCACCGACAGACTYTGAAAACCTATCTCTCTCACCTGTAAAGCGATACAACACAAAACATCTGGACTCTTTTTGCCACGCAGCGGGCAAAGAGCAAGGAAAACCYCTCTTAGACAGTCACAACATGGACAGCGAAAACAGCTCACTGCCAAAAGCTCTAGCCCCGGAACTTAAAGCTTACCTGGACGCTATGTCAGGGAACATCATCACGACTATCTCTATGCAGCTACAAGAATTCCAAAAATCAATAGAGAGCTTGAAAGCCGATATAGAAAAGCGGGATGAAAGGTTCAATGTCTTCCAACAGGAAACCAAAGATTTCCAAGACGATACGAGAGCAAGACTCGACAAACTAGAGAAAAGNATATAATATTATAATTATTAATAATATTAAAATTAGAATTAATATTATAATTATTAATAATATTAAAATTAATATTAAAATTATATATAATATTACAATTATTAATAATATTAAAATTAATATTAAAATTAGAATTAATATTATAATTATTAATAATATTAAATTAATATTAAAACTATATATAATATTATAATTATTGATAATATTAAAATTAATATTAAAATTATAATTAATATAATAATTATTAATAATATTAAATTAATATTAAAACTATATATAATATTATAATTATTAATAATATTAAAATTAATATTGAAATTATAATTAATATTATAATAATTAATAATATTAAATTAATATTAAAATTATATATAATATTATAATTATTAATAATATTAAAATTAATATTAAAACTATAATATAATTAATATTATATATAAATGTTATTTTAATAATTATTTATTACAATAATTAATAATTGTAAATATAACAATTGAACAAACTTATGTGCTCTGTTCTATATTCCATTTTGTATATTTTAATAGGAATATTTTTTTTTTTGTACAAAATTCAATATGTTATAAAAATATATTTTCAATGTATAAAATGTTAAGTGTACCAGCGGTGATACAACATGGCCTGAAAAACAAGTTTAACGTGTACCACCGGTGGTACACGTGGCACGGAACGTGTTCAATTTGATCTGTTCTTAAATGAAGAGCAGAAGAGAAGAAAAAAAAAAAGAAAAAAAATGATAAACATAATTTATCTTGTTTTTATTTTTCTTACCCAAGTAAATCCAAGACAATTGATGGCATCTGCCAACATGTCACCCAACAAACTAGCTGGTGAATTAAGTGCAGGAAAATAAGCGTGCATATGTGGACTTTGCCAATGAGTAACACCCGGCATGATACATCTTTCTATATCGGCAAAAATATCATCCCATGGTTCACCATCCAATGGTGCCGATGTTGGTAATGCGTTTCTCAAATAACCAGGTGATACTGACGGATATACACGTCTCGAACGAATATTTTTAAAATAATCGGCAATGTAATCCACCATTTCTTTTCCTATTTTAAACAAAACAAAAATAAATTAAAATAAAATAAAATAAAATAAGAAGTAGAAGTAGAAGTAGAAGTAGAAGAAGAAGAAAATCATTGGAAAATAAAAAAAAAAATGTAAACAAACCACCATTATAAAATTTATTTGAAACTAACGTTCAAGTTGTGTAGGATCGTTGATTGAATAGAAAAACAAAAAAAAAAAAAGAAATATCCTTAATAAAAAAAGGGTGAAAGGGTTGAGGAGAAGAAGGGATTCATTCGATTGACTTTAAAACACGAAGTGTTAACATTTGATGACAAATATTTGTAGATACTAGACAAAATAGACAAAATCTAAACACTCATTTTCTTTGATTGTTTTTTGGTGTCTTCCATTAACAAACCTTTTTCTTTTCTATTCTTTTCTATTCTCTTCTTTTCTTTTCTTTTCTTTTCATTGAATGAACCTTACTGAAGAATGTAATACCCTTTAAATACGTCGAACATCATTTATATAAATAAGTAAATTAAAAAAAAATAAAAAAGAAACAATAAAATGTCTACGTGTAAAAAAACTACGAAGTTGAATAGTTGATAAATTTGAAGGTTTCATTTTAAAATATAAATTTTGATAAAAAAAACTACGATTGTTTTATTTGTATTAATAAAAATATATAATAATAATAATAATAATAATAATAATAATAATAATAATAATAATAATAATAATAATAATAATATACTAATAATTTAATTATTTTATAAAAATTATATTTATATATTAAATTAATATTAAATGTTTAATATTTAAATAATAAATATAATGATTTAAATTATAAAAATAATAAATTTATTATTTAAATTATAATAAATTTAATATTTAAATTATAAATAAATTTATATTTATTTTATTTAATATTCAAATTATAATTTTATTATTAAAAATATATTCCTATTTATAATATTAACATTATAAATATTAATATATGTATTATTTAATAATTATATATTTATTATTATATTGTGACTTTTATTTTTATTATTATTATAATATAATATAATATAATAAATAAATAAATAAATAAATAAATAATAATTTATATATAAATTTATATCTACCATATAAAATACCATAAAGTACCATGCACGTTAGTGTAGTAAATAAACAAACAAACAAACAAAAATCAAGTACTCTTAAAAGAAATTTATAAAATAAATAAAAGATTTCATTGCGTATCAATTTGGAAAACCCTTTTTTTTAAATCGTAAACATTTGAATTTATTTATTTAACATAAATTATATTATTGTTCGTAGTTTTATTAGAGACAATATCAGTCAGAATCAGAATCAAAGTCACAGTCAGTCAATCAGAGTCATGTTAAACCCCATAAAATCTTGTCGTAAAGGTGTTTACTCGTATCTATGTTTATTCTTATCGATGTTAGTATTTAGTATCCCTTTTTCCCTTCATTCTTCCTACCCCCTTACCACCCCTTAACATCCGTTTACATATATAAATGAAGATAGGAAGGATATTGTTTTACTTTGTCGAATAAATTTTACGATTTAGGTTGATTCCAGGGATTTTATTCGTTTCATCGATGTTTCATTCATTTCATTGATGTCTCATTTGTTTCCTTAAACGTGTAAATAAAAAAAAATAAAAAAAATAAAATAACATGGAAAGGGTAGAGGGTGAAAAGAGAATCATATGGTTTCTCATAAAGTTAAAATGTCGAATAGAAAATCCTTTGATCGTTTGCAATGGTTGGTAGTTGTTTTTTTTTTGTTTTTTGTTTTATCTTTCACAGTTAAAAATTATTCTCGTGAGAATAAATTATTTGTAAGTAAAAAAAAAAAACAAAAAAAAGAAAGAAATGTTTATAGGGATGTGTTTCAAGTGAAAAATGAAGCTTTGAAAAAAACAAATTTATAAATGATGTCATGGTGGTTGGTTGGATAAATTAAAAAAAAAACAAAAAAAACAAAAACAAAAAATACAAATCAAAGTATCTCGAGTATCTCGAATATCTCGAGTATCTCGAGATACATTTATTAAAAAATAATTTGATTAAAGATTAGAAATGATTGAAGTTTTTCGTAGAAAATTATTCACTCACATTGTTCACGTAAAATTTTCAATTTTGTTATTTGTTTATTCTTTTTTAAATTATTGTTAAATAAATTTATTTATTTATTTATTTATTTATTTATTTCTCTCTCTTTTTTTTTTAAACTGGATCTCTAGTAATTTTTTTAGGGACTAGAAATGAATGAAATTTTACGTCACAATTATTCACTCACATTGTTCACGTAAAATTTTCAATTTTGTTGTTTGTTTATTCTTGTTTAAATTAACCTTCCCTCTTTTTCCAAAGTTGCATACAATTATAATTGTTATATTATTTTTAATATAAAAAAATGAAAGAGAGAAAGAATAAAATATTGTAATTGTACTCACCATGTTTGCGATATTCTTCGAAATTCATCTTCAGTTTTTGGTTGCTTCTTTGTCTTCTTTTTTTTTGTTTTTTTTTTTGGAGAAACTAGTAACTTTATTTTTTTATAAAGTTGAACAAATCTTCAATGATAATTTTGCGTTCGTCAATAATTAAATATTCTTCTTCTTCGATCTGGTGGTTTAATTCTTCCTTCGTTGATCGAATTTCACTCGTTCAGCAAGCTCAACCCTATGGAATCAACAGGGATTGATGGATAAAACAAACAGCAGGTATTATTCACCTTTTTTTTTTTAAAGATTCACGAATCAATATTCGATTTTTTATTATTTTTTTTTTTTTGTAAATCGGTGTTGGTCTCACAACAACCAGATTTCGAAATTACGATGTACCCGTTTCACGCACATGTGGCCTTTTTTGTTTTATTGTTTTATTATTCAATTACGTTTATTATTTATATTATTATTATTATTATTATTTTATTTATTTCACCCTCTCTCTTTCCTTCAATTTTTAAGTTTTTTTTTTTTTTTCACATAGGACAAAACACAAAATAAACGAATACGAAAAAAAAACAAACTTTAAACAAACATTGTTTCAACAAAAAGTTGGAATCAAAAAATCCAGAAAATCCAGAAAAACAATTTAATAAATATAATGATATTTAATTTTAAAAAATCATTATTTAATAAAAAAAATCAACGAGACGATTTAAAATGTTCCCCGAATACATGGAAGAAACAACAACAACAAGAGCCAAAAATAAAAAATACAAAAAATGAAAACATAAGAACAAACACGTTAATAAATTGAAACAACGTTGACGCGTTCAAACTTTTGACGATTGTAGATGAGTAGAAAAACGAAGTAAAGAGAATTTAGTAGTGCGTTATAATGCTGAAATATTTGTAAGGATTCATCCAATCATCGATCGGGTGCTGTGTCACATGGCACCACCCCCACACAAGCTGGCCGAGCTTATTAGGGTAGTGTGACAAGGCTCGTAACGTCCTAGAACCAAACTGCCCCCTTTCATTCACTCCTACGTCACCTCTCTTCTTCTTCTTCTTCTTCTTATCCCAACCCTTACCAACTATCACCTTTACTAACTAACCAACCCTATCCTCACATCTCCCTCACCACCCTCACCCTCACGAATCCACTCAAACATTTTACTACGAACAAACTTATACGAATTCATTCCTATGAAATTATTTCATCTTAATCGTTGCGTTTTACTGCATATATATATATATATATTTTTTTTTATTAATTTTTTTTTTTAAGATTGTTAAAGTATTTTTTTTGATAAAAAAAAATATAACAACAATAACTGTTGTTTTATTATTATTTTTTTAATTATTTTTGTTTTGGTTACATTGTCGAAGTATTTTAATTGATAAAAAATAAAACAGAACAATAACTGTTGTTTTACTGCATAGTTTTTTAAATTAATTTTTTTTTAAGATTGTTAAAGTATTTTATTTGATAAACAAAAATTTAACAACGATAACTGTTGTTTTATTATTTTTTAAATTATTTTTTATGTTTACATTGTCAAAGTATTTTAGTTGATAAAAAATAAAACACAGCAATAACTGTTGTTTTACTGCATAGTTTTTTAAATTAATTTTTTTTTAAGATTGTTGAAGTATTTTAGTTGATAAAAAAAATATAACAACAATAACTGTTGTTTTATTATTTTTTAAATTATTTTTTTTGTTTACATTGTCAAAGTATTATAGTTGATAAAAAACAAAACAGAACAACAAGTATTGTTTCTGAATTTGGTAGTATTACTACTACTACTACTACTACTACTACTACTACTACTAGTACTACTACTAGTACTACTAGTACTAGTAGTAGTAGTAGTAGTAGTACTATTACTACTTTTGGACAATTACGAACGAAAATCAAACACGAATTACTCTCTTCCCCCTTTATTCTCTTAACACCACCCTCTTTGCTAATCCCATTTTGGAAAACACAGAATTTCACTTGGTGTTTGAAATACTAACGGGAATGAAAGTTTATTACCAAATTTGTTTCTATATCTTTAAACAATGCGTTATATTTATTATTAACCTTTGCAACTAGATTCAAACTTGTTATCGCGAATTTTATTTCTACTGTGTAATAATAATAATAATAATAATAATAATAATAATAATAATAATAATAATAATAATAATAATAATATATTTAGTAATGATTATATAAATATATAAATTAAATATATTATTTGTGTATTATAATTGTATTTATATATTTGTATTATATTTGTATTATATTTATATTATATATATATTCTAATTAAATATAATTAAATATAAATATAATACAAATATATATGTTATATATTTATAATAATATATAATTATATTACTAAATATATACTATTGTATTAGTTTTATAAATAATTTCTAAAATATATTTATATTATTATTTATAAATAATAATATATTTAGTAATAATAATATAATAATTTAATAATTTAATTATATTTAAAAATATAATTTATTACCATTATATTAATATTATTATTAA